CTTCATTTGCTAATCACACACTTAAAATGAATCTCATTTATGAGGCCATTTGAAGAAACACAAACAGTTGTGACTATTTTCTCCTCATTAATTGTGTTTCTTAAAATAGACTCATGAAGATGTTTATTAAAGCAGCTCCACATTTCATATTAAAGTTTTCATGAGCAGTTCAGCTGTTTCCACACTCAGAATACACGAAAGAAACACATTACATCTGTTATTTTATCAGTGCTGTTAGTTCAGTCAACCATCACTAGTACTGGTGCTCATAGTGACCTGATCAAAGTTCTGACACTGAGTTAAACTTCAGCAAGCAACACGTCCAGCAGAAGATCAGGAAAACACTGTAGCATCCTCCCAAAACTCTCTGACAACGGCATAACACCCTAGCAACCACCCAGAACACCCAAGTAACTGCATGGCAACACCCTAGCAACCACCCAAAACTATCTAACAACTACATATCATCCTAGAAACACCCTCTGGACGTTTTATTTGCATTTATTGTTCTATGTATATCAAATCACTTTTGATGTGGACATTTAAATGTCTTTGACCCTTATACAGCAGAATGTTTTATTTCTGAGATGTTTTAGTTTAATCTGGAACCAATGTTTTAGTTTTCACTTTCTTATAATGTTTGCCAAATGATAAATTATAAAATGGAAAAAAAGTTAAAATGAATAACATTGTAGTGTATAATGTATAACAAATGTATGTTAAAATTTGACTTGACTTTAACTATTAAACACTTCACAATCAGAGCAAGAGTTAAACTAAAAATCCCAAACGTATATGACTTTACTAAAGGAGACGTTTAGCAGAACGTTCACGCTGCTCTTTCCAGATACTAACCAGCAGATGAACTCCAAAAATGATCATAAAAGCACCATAAATCAATCTAAATAAACGAAACTATAAATGTGTAACAAACTATACTATACAGACACACGAATAACTCCTGAATCATTCTTGCATCTGCTGTCTGAATCTCCTGGAATGTGTAATAGAGGGAGATATTCATGAGGTGCTTCAACACTTTCGTCAGCTGTGTTGGATTGATGCTGGTGTAAATAAAACACACACAGACATATAGAGCGGGCGGTCGTGTGGAATTATGGGTAGGGGTGGTTTGGACACAACAGCGCACCCTGAATGCTAAAATGACTGATCGAACTGTTATTAATGAAGAGCTCTTAAACAGCACCAGCCATCATCCATCAGTTCTCATGTGATTTTTGACATCAAACCTGATATGAATGAGAAATGTGACGTTCTACTAAAGAAATAAAGTCATACGGGTTTGTTATTGATTGATTCCTCCAGGAGACGCCTGCGGTCAGACATGAACCGGCGTTCACACCCGATGAACTGGAAACGCCATTAACACGAGGCGGTTCAGCACGGGGTCAGTGTTTAGGGGACAGACACTCTCATCCTGCTCCGAAGGTTTCAGCGAACCTACCAGCCGGAAATCTCAGAGAATTATCATTTTCATTTCTCTCAAGCTGTTTTCTTGTTTTTGCTCTCCCCGAGGCTCCTGCTGAACGTTCACCCGGAGCCGAGCGCGAGCTGTCAGACTCCAGTGCGTTTAGGGTTCCACGGGATGCCGCTGTGTTAATTATGCAAATTCAAATAGCTATGCACACGAAAGATGCAAGAGAACTGCAATCTGATTATGCATGCAATGACTAGGGAGAGGCGGTTTGTGAGCACACGCTGAAAAACAACATTTCCAAAGGGGGGAGGAAGAACCATTTTTGGTTCCCCAAAGAAACTGAGTGAACAGTTCTAAAAATAACTTTTTTTCTAAGCATGAAGAATATTTTAATAAGATCATGTGGTTCCAAATATGTTTAAAGGGGTCACACTGGGGGGGATCTTCATCATTATAGGGTGGTTGTGTACACACACTGCCAACACACATTTGGTTCAAACTACTTTCAAAAGTGCATGTAGCATGCTAGCAACCACCCAAAACTCTCTGACAACGGCATAACACCCTAGCAACCACCCAAAACTCCCTTACAACTACATAACACCCTAGCAACACCCTAGAAAACACCCAAAGCTCTCCAAAAAAAGTGCATAACACTCTAGCAACCACCCAGAACACCATCGTAACTGCATAGTAACACACTAGCAACCACCCAAATCTCTCTAACAACTGCATAACACCCTAACAACACCCTAGCAACCACCCAGAGCACCATAGTAACGGCATGGCACTACCCTAGCATCCATACAAAACTGTAGCGACTACATAACACCCTAGCAACCACCTTAAACTCCCTAACAACTACAAAACACCCTAGTAACCACCCAGAACACCCAAGTAGCTGCATGGCAACACCCTAGCAACCATCCAAAACTCTCTAACAACAACATAACATACTAGCAACCACCCCAAAACTATCTAACAGCTACATAACACCTCAACAACCACCCAGAACACCCAAGTAACTGCATGGCAACACACTAGCAACCACCCAAAACTATCTAACAACTACATATCATCCTAGAAACACCCTAGCAACCATCCAAAACTCTCTAACAACAACATAACATACTAGCAACCACCCCAAAACTATCTAACAGCTACATAACACCTCAACAACCACCCAGAACACCCAAGTAACTGCATGGCAACACACTAGCAACCACCCAAAACTATCTAACAACTACATATCATCCTAGAAACACCCTAGCAACCATCCAAAACTCTCTAACAACAACATAACATCCTAGCAACCACCCCAAAACTCTCTAACAGCTACATAACACCCTAGCAACCACCCAGAACACCCAAGTAACTGCATGGCAACACATTTTTGGTTCCCCAAAGAAACTGAGTGAACAGTTCTAAAAATAACTTTTTTTCTAAGCATGAAGAATATTTTAATAAGATCATGTGGTTCCAAATATGTTTAAAGGGGTCACACTGGGGGGGATTTTCATCATTATAGGGTGGTTGTGTACACACACTGCCAACACACATTTGGTTCAAACTACTTTCAAAAGTGCATGTAGCATCCTATGACCCCTTTAATGGAGGCCTATTGTGCCCCTTTTTACAATATGTAATATAAGTCTCTGGTGTCCCCAGAATGTGTCTGTGACGTTTCTGCTCAAAATACCCCACAGATCATTTATTATATCATTTTGAAAATGTCTTTTTAGAGTGGAAGCAGAAACACGCTTTTTGTTTTCGTGCATGTCTCTTTAAATGCAAATTAGCTGCTTATCCCCGCCCCCTTTTCCAGAATAGGGCTGTGCCTTTACAGCTATTTCCTCACATACTCTGCTAAAAAACATCAGTTTGGTTTTGATTATCATTTCTATCGTGCTGAAATCATGTGTTTTAAACCATATGAGTTTAAGCTTCTGATATAGGGGTTTCTGAGCGCACACATCTGAAGCACACGCACAGAAAGCGGCTGTCATACGACATGCAAGTACTAAACTAAGTTTGCGTTCATGTCTTATTGCACTTAAACTGTCAAATACACTCAAGTTTATGTTAAAAACACAAAGGAGCTACAAAAACAGTGGGTTATATCTGTGAAGGTAAACAGCTGGGAAATAAATCACATGTTTATTTTAGATCTGTGTGGCAGCAGCAATATACAGTAAATAAATCAATAAATGCTCTGCTCTCTCGTCTCCTCTGAGGCTGGGACTCTAAACAGTGTTCTGTGCTCGTCTCTGCAGCCAAACACAGAACAGTTAGCATGTTTTACTCTTTCGCCATGGCATTAGAGCTGCTACACCGCTTGCGAAAACACAATAACGGCACCGTGGATGGAAACTTACAGATTAAGGGGCGGTAATATTATAATACGATCCCCTTTATATGTCACAGGGGAGTGAAATCTGACGCATTTGTTTTTCACAAGCTTGCAGAGAAAGGCTAACCAAAAATATTTACTGGGTTGTTCTTTTTCACGTTTTCTGGGTTGATAGATGCACTAGGGACCCAATTATAGCCCTTAAATATCAGATTGTCATGATATATCACCCTTAAGGTTCTTCATGGAACCACTGATGCCAATAAAGAAACTACTTTTAACAGTACAGGTTTGATTTCCAAACACAACCAGAATGAAGCGGGTTAGAAATCCACTGTCACATGTGAACAGTGCCATGGACACGATCAAACAGAAGAAGAGCTGAGAACCGATAATCACTGACATAGATGCGGTTCAGGACGACTGACTGCAGCGTGACGACATAAACACAGAATACATTAGGCAAGAAAGAACGAGAGGAGGAACAAATATAGAGACACAATGGAGGACATCTCAGAGCGAGCAGATGAAATTCAGACAAAACACGACAAGTGTTAATTCCAGTGGTGCCGGTGAGTAACTGTGAGGAGTCTCTATTCATATCACACATTAGCATTAAACTGCATTGGGAACTGACAGACTCTCTACAGTGGAGCTTCTACAAGCTCAAGCAGCACAAAGGAAGATTATTCCTTACATAAATCTGGGTTTATAGCCATGGCCCAGAACTCGCCGTCACTGAGCTCACAGAAGTCCGGTTTCATGGCTTCCTGTAGCTCAAACTGCAGATCAGCGGTTCCCAACTACATTCCTGGAGGCCCCTCAACACTGCACACTTTGCGTATCTCTTTTGTCTGACACAGCATTTTCAGGACTTGGAGTCTCTGTTAATGAGCGGATGACCTGAATCAGGTGTTTGATTAAATGTGCAGTGCTGGAGCTCCAGGATCAGGGTTGGGAACCATTGCTGTTGATCACGGTTGAGTTCCCAGGGATTGCATAAATCGAAAAAAAAAATCCTTGAATGCAATGTTAGTTGCTTTGGACAAAAGCATCTACACCAGGAAGTCACTAATATTCCAAAACACATTAATTCACTGGCTGCTGGAGAACAAGCCCGTGGCCTCTACCATTCACAAACAGAGTCATTTACTGAGCCAAAACTGAAAAAACATAGACTCCAGAATCACACCTTCCTACACTGGCACCTACCGTGGCTTCCCCTCGTCAGGAAGGGCATCCGGTTGATGGCGATGGGCACGGTGCCGTGTTTGTTGTGGAAATGGTGAACGTGATGTGTGGTGCTCAGACTCGACGATACTCTAGCAGAGACCGCTGGGCCTGGGAAGGCGAGCAGCGATAGGGACAGAACCAGCCGCCATAACCCGGACACGCTGGTCCAGAAGACCCGGGGCGGAGCGACAGCTGGGGCTCGTGGGTAAAGCACTAATCCACTGGCCAGAAGCAAAGCCCTGAGGGCAGAAGAGAAAGGGGGTGGGGCCTCCATGCCACGCCTCCTCACGTGACAAAAACAGGAAGACATTTCAGACCGAGCCGGTATCCATGGTTTCTAGATTCCCGCAGCTGGGAAAAACGCCTCGATCATGTGGAACACAAAATATCTTGGTTGTTTAGGATCAAGAAAACTGCAAACCAAAAACAAACAAACAAACAAAAAAAACCTTCAGGAATTAAAAAGACAATTCCAATTTCCACGATGCAATCCAACGGTCAGGACAACTACCCTTCAAAAACTGCATTAATAATCATCTAGTTAGATCTGCATTGAAACTCAAACACCCTAGCAACCATCCAAAACCTACATAACACCACATCAACCACCCAGAACACCCAAGTAACTGCATGGCAACACACTAGCAACCACCCAAAACTATCTAACAACTACATATCATCCTAGAAACACCCTAGCAACCATCCAAAACTCTCTAACAACAACATAACATCCTAGCAACCACCCCAAAACTCTCTAACAGCTACATAACACCCTAGCAACCACCCAGAACACCCAAGTAACTGCATGGCAACATGCTAGCAACCACCCAAAACTCTCTAACAACAACATAACATCCTAGCAATAACCCAAAACTCTCTAACAACTGCATAACACCCTAGAAACCACCCAGAACACCCTAGCACCTCCACAGCAACACAGCTCCATAGCTCAGGTGGTGTTTCTGAGCACATGATGGTTTGCTGAAGGTTATTCGCTGGTTTCACATGAAATCCTACGGAAGCGCAGTCGGAGCGTCGCTGCAGTCCGATCATGTGATCGTGTTTCATAAAGCAGAAGCTCAGCGCTGTAGAGGAATGTGGGCCGCAGCTCCAATCATGAGATCTCAGGAGAATCCGATGAGAAACGTCTGAGTCAATCTAAAGAGGCTCTGAGTCTCTCTCAGATCTTCTGATGAATCCGATCAAGCGTATCTCCATCCTTCTGTGTCACTTCCTCTTCCATTCCTCATCTTTCACATGGGCTGCTACTGTCAGCCTTCCCACAATCCCCCTCTGCTCTCCTAATGAGCTTCTCTCCTCTAACGAGTTTACACTGAACTCATCACACGCAGCTGGAAGAGGCACACGTGGGCTTATGAAGCAGACACCAGCGTTCACTAAATAAATCTATTAATCATATTAATCAGAGTAAAGGATCTCCTGTCGGCTGATGTGTTTTACAGTCAGCGCTGCTCGTCTGATCTGAATCTGTGAGTGTGTGTGTTCAGACGGATCTTTAGAGCTGGTGTTTTCACTCCACTGCTCTCTGAATCTCTCTGTCACACGCGAGTGTTTCGCCGCCGGTTTGGGCTTCTGTCGAGATGTTAATTTAAGGCTGAGGCTAACAGCTTCACGGCTCATTCCACATGATCTGCTTCCCTGCAGCGCGTCTGCGTCTCTCACAGCACATCTGTAACTGTCTAACGTCTCCAGACATGAAGTCCAGCTGAAGTTTCTGACTGATGGTAAGAAAGATCCTGGAGGACGAAGGAACACAGCTCAGCTCAAACTTCAACGAGAGAAAAAAACATTTCAATTATAATTAATTAACTTTGATTCCCGAGCGCAAATTACTACGGAGGAGTTCATCTCAGTAATTACATCACGTCAATTATTTAAATTAAGAGCACAATTAGTTACATTCATCAATACTTGCTGAGAAACTCTGAAATGGAATTAAACAAACAAAGAAAAGATTGTAGCAGATGATGGTCAGATTATTCAATACAGCACAGATTAATTAGTATATATTAAATAATAGCATATAATATTAATAATAGTAAAGTGTATGTTAAATAATATTTTAGCATCTATCTATCATCTATCTCTCTATCTATCTATCTATCTATCTATCTATCTATCTATCTATCTATCTATCTATCTATCTATCTATCAGTGCGTTTAGGGTTCCACGGGATGCCGCTGTGTTAATTATGCAAATTCAAATAGCTATGCACACGAAAGATGCAAGAGAACTGCAATCTGATTATGCATGCAATGACTAGGGAGAGGCGGTTTGTGAGCACACGCTGAAAAACAACATTTCCAAAGGGGGGAGGAAGAACCATTTTTGGTTCCCCAAAGAAACTGAGTGAACAGTTCTAAAAATAACTTTTTTTCTAAGCATGAAGAATATTTTAATAAGATCATGTGGTTCCAAATATGTTTAAAGGGGTCACACTGGGGGGGATCTTCATCATTATAGGGTGGTTGTGTACACACACTGCCAACACACATTTGGTTCAAACTACTTTCAAAAGTGCATGTAGCATCCTATGACCCCTTTAATGGAGGCCTATTGTGCCCCTTTTTACAATATGTAATATAAGTCTCTGGTGTCCCCAGAATGTGTCTGTGACGTTTCTGCTCAAAATACCCCACAGATCATTTATTATATCATTTTGAAAATGTCTTTTTAGAGTGGAAGCAGAAACACGCTTTTTGTTTTCGTGCATGTCTCTTTAAATGCAAATTAGCTGCTTATCCCCGCCCCCTTTTCCAGAATAGGGCTGTGCCTTTACAGCTATTTCCTCACATACTCTGCTAAAAAACATCAGTTTGGTTTTGATTATCATTTCTATCGTGCTGAAATCATGTGTTTTAAACCATATGAGTTTAAGCTTCTGATATAGGGGTTTCTGAGCGCACACATCTGAAGCACACGCACAGAAAGCGGCTGTCATACGACATGCAAGTACTAAACTAAGTTTGCGTTCATGTCTTATTGCACTTAAACTGTCAAATACACTCAAGTTTATGTTAAAAACACAAAGGAGCTACAAAAACAGTGGGTTATATCTGTGAAGGTAAACAGCTGGGAAATAAATCACATGTTTATTTTAGATCTGTGTGGCAGCAGCAATATACAGTAAATAAATCAATAAATGCTCTGCTCTCTCGTCTCCTCTGAGGCTGGGACTCTAAACAGTGTTCTGTGCTCGTCTCTGCAGCCAAACACAGAACAGTTAGCATGTTTTACTCTTTCGCCATGGCATTAGAGCTGCTACACCGCTTGCGAAAACACAATAACGGCACCGTGGATGGAAACTTACAGATTAAGGGGCGGTAATATTATAATACGATCCCCTTTATATGTCACAGGGGAGTGAAATCTGACGCATTTGTTTTTCACAAGCTTGCAGAGAAAGGCTAACCAAAAATATTTACTGGGTTGTTCTTTTTCACGTTTTCTGGGTTGATAGATGCACTAGGGACCCAATTATAGCCCTTAAATATCAGATTGTCATGATATATCACCCTTAAGGTTCTTCATGGAACCACTGATGCCAATAAAGAAACTACTTTTAACAGTACAGGTTTGATTTCCAAACACAACCAGAATGAAGCGGGTTAGAAATCCACTGTCACATGTGAACAGTGCCATGGACACGATCAAACAGAAGAAGAGCTGAGAACCGATAATCACTGACATAGATGCGGTTCAGGACGACTGACTGCAGCGTGACGACATAAACACAGAATACATTAGGCAAGAAAGAACGAGAGGAGGAACAAATATAGAGACACAATGGAGGACATCTCAGAGCGAGCAGATGAAATTCAGACAAAACACGACAAGTGTTAATTCCAGTGGTGCCGGTGAGTAACTGTGAGGAGTCTCTATTCATATCACACATTAGCATTAAACTGCATTGGGAACTGACAGACTCTCTACAGTGGAGCTTCTACAAGCTCAAGCAGCACAAAGGAAGATTATTCCTTACATAAATCTGGGTTTATAGCCATGGCCCAGAACTCGCCGTCACTGAGCTCACAGAAGTCCGGTTTCATGGCTTCCTGTAGCTCAAACTGCAGATCAGCGGTTCCCAACTACATTCCTGGAGGCCCCTCAACACTGCACACTTTGCGTATCTCTTTTGTCTGACACAGCATTTTCAGGACTTGGAGTCTCTGTTAATGAGCGGATGACCTGAATCAGGTGTTTGATTAAATGTGCAGTGCTGGAGCTCCAGGATCAGGGTTGGGAACCATTGCTGTTGATCACGGTTGAGTTCCCAGGGATTGCATAAATCGAAAAAAAAAATCCTTGAATGCAATGTTAGTTGCTTTGGACAAAAGCATCTACACCAGGAAGTCACTAATATTCCAAAACACATTAATTCACTGGCTGCTGGAGAACAAGCCCGTGGCCTCTACCATTCACAAACAGAGTCATTTACTGAGCCAAAACTGAAAAAACATAGACTCCAGAATCACACCTTCCTACACTGGCACCTACCGTGGCTTCCCCTCGTCAGGAAGGGCATCCGGTTGATGGCGATGGGCACGGTGCCGTGTTTGTTGTGGAAATGGTGAACGTGATGTGTGGTGCTCAGACTCGACGATACTCTAGCAGAGACCGCTGGGCCTGGGAAGGCGAGCAGCGATAGGGACAGAACCAGCCGCCATAACCCGGACACGCTGGTCCAGAAGACCCGGGGCGGAGCGACAGCTGGGGCTCGTGGGTAAAGCACTAATCCACTGGCCAGAAGCAAAGCCCTGAGGGCAGAAGAGAAAGGGGGTGGGGCCTCCATGCCACGCCTCCTCACGTGACAAAAACAGGAAGACATTTCAGACCGAGCCGGTATCCATGGTTTCTAGATTCCCGCAGCTGGGAAAAACGCCTCGATCATGTGGAACACAAAATATCTTGGTTGTTTAGGATCAAGAAAACTGCAAACCAAAAACAAACAAACAAACAAAAAAAACCTTCAGGAATTAAAAAGACAATTCCAATTTCCACGATGCAATCCAACGGTCAGGTCAAGCACCCTTCAAAAGCAAAAAAAACTGCAATAATAATCAAATAAAACTGCTAGGTTAATCCAACTAATAAACTACAAACCTCCAGTTAGATCTACATCGAAACACAAAAGCAAAGAAAAGCATCAACCAAACTAGAATCCTCCCAAATCTGATGAGTTGATCCTCAAGTTTGCCAAGAGGTTATCCATCCAAAGTCCAGAACGCTAGTGCCGAGACACACGCCATCCTGGAAAACTCCAACAGACGGAGAAATCTTGAATTAAAAACAAAACCAACTGAAGAAAAACAGAGAATGAGCTTCCCAAGGGACGGGAGGAGAAACGAGACACAGAGAGAGACGTTTGTCCAAACGATGGATTCTTCTATTAGATTATCAAACCTCCAGAGACCAGCAGAAAACACAGAGACGTGAGCTGAAACCAGAGACCAACCAGAATAAATCGACAAGGAG